TGATGCGTGGAGATGAGTCTGCACGACATGGCAATGGGCAATAAGGCGAAAACAGTGGGCCAGGATCTGACTTTTTGCTGGTAGAGATACAGGCGGAATGATGGCATGCTGCCTTTTGCGTTCGAAGGCCGTTGATGATACTACCTAGGCAGGAACCCTGTGATGGCTCTCGGTGGTGTATGATTTAGTACTCTCAGTCCGGTGCTTTCTTCGTCCTCAAGTGCCATCTTCCCATAGGACACTGGGTGAATCTAAAGGCCACCCACGTCAGCGACGAGAGATGACCAGTAGCACACGACGGCCAGCATTCCTAGGCGCCATTCTACGCTTGCTAGGTCGGCACCCAGGTAGGCGTACCTAAGCGGAGGCTTCGGGCTCCGACTGCCACGCAACGCAGCGGGGCTGCCACGCTGGACCTACAGGGCCTTCCTACCTAAGCGAATCGAGCTGTTCACCATTGAGCTGTCCTATCACATGGCCGTCTGTCTCCTGGTCCATGCGTCGTCGCCCCAGGTGCAGTGCACTGTACTGTACCTGAATGCAAGGCCAGCTGGAAGGCTTCTGTCAGCCTTCCCTCCCTCCCCGGATTTTCAATCCCACCATTGCCCGTCAGCCTTCCGGCGCTTCCGCCATCCGCCTCGCATAAACCCTCCGAGGCCCCGACCGTCCTTCAACATACAAGTCCCCGTCTGCCTGCCTGTTCAGAGCTCATCCTCTCTTCGTCGCCCTCCCGTAAGCCGACGTCCCTACGCCGCGTCCCGGCTCCGACCCAGCCATGACCTCCTCGCAACCCCAGGTCTCCGACCTCCGCCTCGACGCCGTGCTGCGCACCTCTGCCGAATCCCGCGAACAGGCGGATGCTCTCGTCGCCCTCCTGTCCACTGCCGATGAAGCCGGCGCCCGTCTCCCTGCCGACCTCGAGGCCACCCTGTCTAAGCAGCAGAAGCTTCTGTTCACCAACATAGCCCACCTCCGAGGCCTCCACCGCGCCGCCCACTTCTCTGCCCGCGAGACGAAGGCGACTACCGCCGAGGACCGTCAGGCCGTCGACACCCTGCACCTCCAGCTACAGAACCTTTACTACGAGCAGCGCCACCTACAGGGCGAGATCGCTGCCTGCGACGAGTACGAGTGAGTTGCTCTTGCCCTTATCCTGCTCGTCGCCTCCTCCGCAATGCCACGGAAGACTGACATCAGCGCAGCCACTCGCATCTGCGCCTGCCGCTCATTCCTGTCGAGGACTTTCTCGATCAGCATCCCGACCAGGCGACCGACGACGAGAACGCGCTCATGACGGCGCGCATCGCTCACGAACGCGCTCAGCGTGAGACCCTCGAGCAACAGAGACAGGAGCTCCTGAAGCGCAAGCAAAAGCTCATCTCCGAGAACAAGAAGCGCAAGGATGACCTGGCGAATCTCGACAAGGACCTGGAGAAATTTATTGATGTTTGTTGTGCCCCCGTCTCCTTCCCTCTCCTGGCTGGCGCCTGCACCTAACCCTTTCCTCTCCTCGACGCGTATGCTGACTAGGTCGCGCAGGCCGCGAAGCCGATTCAGGTACTTTTCGAGAAGGTGGTGTGATTGCGGCCAGCGACGAAATATTCTTTTTACGAGAGGGTCTGGCTAGGATGCCGGAATCCGATTACAGTTTGCTTAGAGATACCCCCCTCCCTTTCTCCCAAGGGCCGAAAAAAAGTACCTTGTCGAAAAGGAGTTTACGGCACGCCCAATTGAGACTTCGACCTGAGACTGTTTGACTGGTACCCTGCTACTATCTGTCGCTATTTGACTCCTTGAGCGAATCCAAAACGTCTGCCTGGAGCATCAGTGGCTATGCAAATGGAGAACTCGACGCATTGGGCTGGATTTGAACGGTTGCCTGGAGTGGACAACGTCGCGCCCATATGGGTAGCCGACGCTTAAGAGTGCCGGTCCCGTCGCAGAGCCCAGACGTGGGGTCACTGGCGGGCGGTGAAGCTGACAGCACAGAGCACAGCACTGGCCATCTCGTGTTCCACTCAGCTCCGCGACAATTCTCATATTGCTCAGTGCCTTAGGGCCGATTCCTATTGACGCGCACACTTGTGGCGCAGGATTCATGACTTTTCGGAGGCAAGTCAAACGGCTCGAGCAGAGTGAGGTGGCTCAGGCAGTTTTGGTTTTTGAACGCTGAACGCGTCCTTGCGGGGCCTTGACGATATGTCCAGAATCGAAGCACAGCTTCAGGCAACGAGATGACTGCCCACCCCCCGATATTGTCTCCGTCGCAATATTCCCCCAAGCTCGAGGGGACCCGTGACGGCCTGCCAGACGGCAGTTCAGGCCGCTTTTCCTTGCCGAACAAGCGGAGCCAGCATGCACCGGTGTCTGATCCACTCAAGCGCCGTCATTTTTCACGTGGGAAATGAGTCGTCTTCACTGCACCGCCCCTGAACTCTATCGTTCAGCCGAAAGAGGCCATCCAGCCGTGGGCGTGCTTTGGGGATTGGAGGACATTTTCTCTTCTCATCCGCCGATCGCGCCGCCTGTCTTGCACTGCGCGCTCGATGCGATGCTGTTTGGGGGTATCACGGAGCTCTTATTCATGCGGGCAGGGTGATCACGATGATGCACATGATAAGTTTTGGGCCGCACATGTTCACAGGTGGGTGTGGTCTCGATTGCTGTGCTCCCTCCATCTCTCTCTCTCTCTCTCTCTCTCCGTCCCCCTCGTCTGATGTACACAACCCTGAAGGAGGAGAACTGTAGCATCTGCTCGCGCTACCAGCAGATGTTCACCCGAATCGGTACTCGGCGTGACTAGCGAATGAATACAACAGGGCAATGCACATCGCGATATAAGTACCAGGGTCTTGAACTTTGTCAGCCATGCCACAGCATTCCAGCAAGCGTTGACGGCATGCCAGCCAAAACAAATAGAACATGGATGCTAACACGGACCTTGGAATTGAGACGAATCAACATCAGCTGAAGGTGCGAAAACGGGAGGGGGGACAAGTCTGACTAGGGTCCAGACAGGACGCACGCCTGGGGGCCAGCCAACCCACGAGATCTGGTCCCGTTCTGGAATACCGAGCCACTCAGATGTAAGCTGGAGACAGATGTGGGGGCCACTGGTGCTGTTAGTACGGTCGGTAGAGGAAATGCAGTGAAGCTACGACGACCTCCCCAGGCGGGAAAAAGGAGGGGGTCCAGGGCCCCAAAGTCAAAATGGCCGCCCCATCAGAGGGAATTCAGAAGCGCCCTGACATGATTCAACGCGCGTCCCATGCGACAACGCAGAAACTCTTCCTAGGCAGCAGCATTCGCCCATCGGCAAGCCTGTCCCGAACCATCGCAAAGCCCATCAACAAGGCTGTGCCGCAGACCGACGCTACGAAACTCCTTCAGATGGAGTTGACGAACCTGGCCGAGGCTCTCAAGTTCCGCGGTCACTGTCCCCTAGACCAGCCAGACACTGGTGCCGCGTCGACGAAGTAAGGACCGTTCGAGAACCCCTTCGGAGATTGACGAGCACCGCGGGGTTCGTCTGTCTATTTGGTTGGCTGTCTCTTTGCCTCGCCATGTGAGTCGTCGAAATCGAGAGCGAGGGGTGTCAAACAACTCAAAGCAAGCCCGTCTACTCGAGGTTAGCCCGTCTCATTTCCCCTGGCCCAAGCCACGTCGGCTGGACTCGAGCGTTGGTGCAACAAGATGCGCTTGCGGCCTTATTGGCTAGAAGGGCTAGGTCGTCGATATCGCCTCGTTTGTCATGAATACTGTCCCAACTGCTTCAACTTGGGCACACTCAGGTCTACTTGGAGGACTTCTCTCTTGTTGGCGAGTCAGACCGTACTGAGCAAGCGAATAGGCTGGTAAGAGAAAGACCAGGACAAAGCTGTGCTTTCTGGCACGAGTTGTTTCTTCGTACGTCGCAATGGCGTATCTTGTATCGTGCCGGGTGTGAACAAGTTTCTGCGCTTTTGTACGTTTCTTGAACCTGTCCGGCTGCATGCACTCATTTCCCAGCTACCTTTCCCTACCTTACCTAGGTCGATGACATGGCAGTGCCAAGGAAGTCTCCCAGATCAATCTCGACGACAGCATCCAACCCGTTCCAGCACTGGGGGACCCTACCTACCTTCCTGGTTCCTCTGGGGAAGACCCCCACAGCTCTGTACCTAGCTCTGGTCCCTTGAGAACAGGAGGTGGGACCAACTTGGTGCGAACCACTTCATGTCGGCCTAGGAGAGGCAGCCGGTGCCATTTCCCAAAGAAGGCTCGGCTGGCTCAACGAAGTATCGTGATCGAGACCCCACAATGGCTCCAACACTGGCAAAAAGGGCGTGCATCACGCAAGTCTAGGAGCATTGGGCATTGCCTAACGAGCCCTTTCTCCTTATACTCCTACCCCCTACCTTCGGAGAGAACCCTGTCCTTGACACCCAATCCCATCACCCCCCACCGCCACACGAGGTAGACCTGCTCGTGTACTGGACGGCGCAACCCTCTAGGCTTACCAGCCCGCACTGGCATCTCATCTCTCTACAGGTGATCGTGATGATGGCCCCGTTCCGAAGTGGCACTGACGGCGAAGGGGTGCTTGTTTGCCAGAAGCTTGGACAGGACCCTTTCCCCCCTCACACCCCCTTTGTCATAGGTACATGATGGACGTGGAGGTACCTTAGTCTAGGTAGGTACACAAGGCAGATCTGGTCGTTCTTGCTTGCTATATGGAGTATCGTGCCGCTTCTACAGGTCCTGGATAGCTCACACTTTCCCTCTGTCTCAGACCGTGATGACCTGCCCTCTCCCATATCAAGAGCTCTCCGCCTTTCTTGTCATACTCAGCACACCAGAGCCACTTGGTCTTATTCTCTCTTCACTCTCTCCCTTCTCTTCCTGCCGGAACCAGCAGTGACGCTGCAATTTCATCCTTCCATCACTCCTCCAGCACACTAAAGTCAAAGGGAGTTGAAGACGACCCTATTCGATCTCCTACGCAACTCGACTCGTCGCCCCTCACCCGCGAAACAGTTGCAACCCTAGATCTCTCATCAGTCTTGGAAATCTGGAAGTCTTCTTGCTTCCAGGCATCTCTTCACCCGAACCGTCACCAAGATACCGGGTGCCTTCCCTCCTTCCCCCAGACCCTCACTGGGCTGGACTTCACCACACGTCACAGCTATACCACACACGATTGTTCGTCACGACTGAGCCATGTCGCTCTTCGCTTGGTGCAGCCGCCGCGCTGGCGGGCTGGCCATGATCGCTCTCCTTGCCCTCAGCTACTGGGTCATCTCGCGGGCATCGGCTGCATCGCATCTCGCCTATGCGCATAACTTTCGACACCCCGGGCCACAGCCCGCTAAAGGCCCGACATCATTCTTCGCAAAGGACTGGCCAACCATAGTGTTCGCGTATTACTGCTTGTTCATCCACTTCCTGGTCTTCGCGTTCCCCTTTCGTTCATGTTACGCCGTCATCAGCATGACTTGGAACCTCAAGAAGACTGCGCTCAACAAGAGGCTTCGCGACTTTAAATTCGCCCACCGCCGCCGAGGTTCCTCCTCCTCTCTCTCTAGCTCAGAGACCTTGACCTCGTACTACGCCTGTTCTTCCATCACCAGCCAGCCTGGCGATCCACAGGTTGAGGCCTATAGCGAATCGTCAGACTATGTTGTCGACCATGTCATCCACGCCATCATTATTCCTAACTACAAGGAGGAAGTGGACACGCTCAGGGAGACCCTCGAAGTACTCGCATCGCACCCGCAAGCGGTCAACTCGTACGACGTAAGTGGGGTTTTCTTTTGATTGTGACGGTCATGTTGCTTTGGTTTGTGCGTAGCTGACCATAGCCTATGCATAGATCTATCTCGGCATGGAGTCTCGTGAAGCCAACTGCGAGCTTAAGGCTACCTCACTCATTCAAGAATTTCTGAAAAAGTTTCGCAACATCACTTACACCGTCCATCCATCCGATATTCCAAACGAGGCTGCCGGAAAGGGCAGCAACGTGGCCTGGGCAGCACGGATGGCGAGCCAGAACTACGCCTTTGCGGATCGAAGGGATGTCATTTTTACCGGGATTGATGGTACGTGGTCACCTGTCAGCACCTTATAGCGAGTGGCTTTGCCTGGGGAATCCCTGAGAAAATACGTTCAAGCACGATGCGATGGCTATCATTTGCTAACACTATTTTTGTGCAGCGGACAGCCACCTGTCAGCCAACTACACGGCGCTGATCACCACCATGCATATGGCGCATCCAGAAAAGGCTGATACGACGTTGTACGCGGCACCCATCATCTTTGATCGCAACGCGCACATCGTCCCCGCAGTCGTACGTGTTGCGGACATTCTTTGGGGCGCCGGTGGTCTTTCCGGGCTTTACAAAGGGTCTTCTGTAGCACCACCAACCTCAGTCTACTCGCTCCCCCTGAAGCTTGTCGACCGCGTGGGAGGGTGGGACTGCGACAGTGAAGCCATCGGCGAAGACCTGCACATGTACCTCAAGTGCCTCTTTGCTCTTAACGGAAACCTGACCTGTCGGACGGTGTACAGCCCAGTCAGCCAAAGCAACGTAACAGCTGGTAGCATCAAAGGGCTGCGTGGCGTTTATGCCGATATGCAAGCACGTTACAAACAGGCCCTCCGACACATGTGGGGAGCTCTAGATACAGGATACGCCATGCGCAAGTTCGCGGAGCTCCTTCGGGAGAGGAAGCATACTTCGAGGGCATACCGACCTTTGCATACGCCCTTGGATAACGATTCAAATGTTTACGTCCCCGAATTACAACCAGACACCAATCAGTCCCACGAGAGCGGTGTCTTTTCTGACATCACTCAAGACACACTGTCAGGTCCCAACTGGTGGTGTCTCCTCGTTCTCAGCCATCGTCTTTTCGAGGCACACTTTCTCCCGGTACAGATGACGATTCTAGTCATCGCATCAACGCTGTTTCAATGGGTCGCCGAAGGAAACGAAGACCCTCACAATCTTGGATGGATCTTTACCGTCTCCAACATCATCCGCACAGTTGGCATTATGGAGGTCGCCTTGTTCTTGTTCCTTTACGAACGATACCACGACGTGTGCGTACGAACGAGGGAACGCGAGATGATTGAGGCGGGTCTGGCACAGGATATGAACTTCTCATATCGCTCGGTGAAGAGAAATTTCGTTGATTACGTTATGGTGCCGTTGGTCGCGCCACTGTATGGCTCGATTCCATGTGCGCAGGCGCAAATCTGCCACTTCTGGACCGTGGACCTGGTCTACACTGTGAGCGGGAAGATAACACGCCAGAGATCAAAGTCCGTTACGCCAATCGAACAGATGGCATGATGGCTCGGCTGCTGTTTGAGAAAGAGCGCTTCTCTCAACCGGCACTGCAGTGACGAGCCGAATACTTTTCCACCCTTCTATTCGCCCTCGCCATCAATTTCGAGAGTATTCACCCGATACCGGCTTTTAATGAATTTCTGCTTTCGGGAGGACAACTGCAGGAGCGTCACGTGTACAATGACCATTATTTCTTCTTCAGCATCGGTCTTCGTTCTAAAGTATAGACACATTTCACAGCGACGAGGGTGTTGAGCGGATGGATGAAGCTTGAGGATGGACAGGCAAACGTTGCAGTAATAACAGCAAAGTTACGGGCTTTGGGTCACAGGGTAAATCACTCGAACAGGGACGGCTGAAGAAACTGACAAACACTAGACGTAGCGGGCGTATGTTTCACAAGCACTTCGTAGAGGCTTTGTGCAGCTTAATTATTACCTTGGGATGGGAACTCCAAGTAACACAAAGTGGTGATCCTTGTCCTTGATGATATGGGTAACAGGTTAAGAATGAAGCAGGCTGACTACATGATTTGGGGTCCCGGCCCAAAGTGGTTCTCTGGGAGGGTACTCCTATACAATAGCGGGCACGACTCTTAGGTGCGGCTTGGCTCTTTCGTGTTTAGTGAAAGCAGACCGTGGCTTCGGAAGTTACATACAACATGCATTCGTGTAAGTGGTGGACTAAGCACGCGAAAGCTACCAAACAAAGTCATCTTGTTCGACGCACCTCGGACTCGGTGCCTCGCAATAATGAAGATGGCAGCCACGACCGCCAACAAGGTCAAGGTGGACGTCTTGGGCCCGACCGAGTGAGAGATCCTCTGCGTCACCTCCAAGGCCAACGTCGAGGCACTTTTCTCTGACAATAGGCCTCAGAGGAGCGCCGACACACCACGTTGAGCACGACGGGTGGACCCTGCGGCGGTGGGCATTGTGCTCGTGCCCGGGCCGATGCTGGGTGCAGGCACGGGGGACGCAGGCCGGGCGTGGCTCAGTGTCCAGCAAGCCCCTCGTCTGAGGTAGGCGAGATGGCGCATGCTGTGGCAGAGGCCGGGGGGCGGTCGCGGGTGTAGTGATTCAGGTCGGCGGCGTGGCAACGAAGGAGTAGTGAGTAGTGTGTAGGGGTCCCTTCTAGGGTAGGCTGTTGCGAATCTTGTCTCGCCCCGTCGATCCGAAAAGTCAATTCAGTTGACAAAGCCGCTGAGGCCTGGAACCAGCCCATGCTTGATGACAGAGAATGGCATCATGTAGCACCTCACCGCTCCGGTCCTGCCAGTGGATCAATCCACCGCGCCTGCCAGTGCTGCTGCTGCTACTGCTCTGCCACTGCCGTATGGTGGCCCACTATCAAGTACCCTGCGCCTGCCGCCTGCATGTGAACCCACCGCACTGGCCAAGGACTCGAGATGGATGGAGACGGAAGCAAAAGAGTTCAGGCGCTCAGGTGTTTGCCTTCCCCAGACTGTGCTGGACCTCTGCCTTGCGCAGGCTGTCGTCCCGCCGTTGCCATAGGCTCGATAAGAGGGCTTATCAGGCTAGCGCCATCCGTAGTGGGGTGCCGCAGAGAAAAAGTTCTGGGACACCCTGAAGCGTCCAGGAAAATTTTGGACTGGAGCTCTTCAAGCCGCGCCTTGCCCATCCATCCATCTGCCTGCCTCTTGACAATCTTCAACGCAAGTTTCTTCACACCTTGCAACGAACTCCGTCCACCTCCCGGATCCTGTTCCTACCACCACACGAACACACATCAAAGATCCCCTTCACCTCGCGCGCATTCACTTTCGCGTGACTCTTCCTACCACCTACTTCATTACCTCTTTAATTCACATCAAACCAACAAGATGGCCCCCCAGCCTGTCGCCATCTATGGCCTCGAGGTCCGCCCCGGCAAGCTGACCCCCGCTGGTCCCAACTTCCCCGCCGGCGTAAGTCCTCCATCACTTTCCTCATCATCAAAATGGCTCTGTGGCTGCCATCATGGCGGTTCATTCTGCACATGCCCACCGCGGCAAAGCCGACATGCGCACGTTCGGGTTGACCGTGGCCTTGGCCCGGCGCTGTGCCATGTCGCCTGCTCGCCGCCTTTTCAGCAGTCTATGCTGTGCTCCCCAGCTTGCGCATCGCATCAAATACTAACATGCTCCCAGTACCGCATCACCATGGCTGCCATTGACCCCACTAGGCCTGAGGGTCCCGAAGACGAGGACTCGGAGATCCCCTCCAAGCCCCTCGCTGTTCTCCGTCTCCTGAAGATGCCCCTTGACGACGATGAGGAGGAGGACTCTGATGACGAGGAGATCGACGAGGAGTACCTCAAGGCTCTTCTCGCTGCTTCCCCCGACGACGAGGAGGACTCTGACGAGGAGGCCAACGGCGGCCCCAGCGACCCCAAGAAGAAGAAGAAGGGCGCTGCCCAGCTGATCGCTGCTCTCAAGGGCGAGGACTCGGACGAGGATATGGCCGAGTCCAAGACCAACGGCAAGAAGGGCAAGGGCAAGGCTTCCGACGAGGACGATGAGGATGATGAGGAGGACAGCGACGACGAGGACTCGCCCGACCAGCTCGAGCAGTACGTCCTGGCTACCTTCGACGGTGAGCGCGTAAGTCAAGACTCGACCACAGCCCCTCCTTTGCCAGCGCACTACTGACAACCCGACCAGCACTTCCAGCAGGCTCTCGACATCTCCGTCGGTCCCAACGAGCAGGCCTGGTTCCTTGTTGACGGTCACTTCTCCGTCCACCTGACCGGCAACTACGTTGTCGACGACGAGGAGGAGGATGACGAGGATGAGGACGACGAGGATGAGGAGGACATGTACGACCTCGCCTCTGACGAGCTCCTCGGCGGCGAGGACAGCGACGAGAGCGATGAGCTCGACGGTCTCGATGACCCCCGCGTCATGGAGGTCGACAGTGAGGACGAGGAGGCCCCCAAGCTCGTCGAGGTCAAGAAGGGCAAGAACAAGCGCGCCGCCGAGGAGGCCGAGGCTCTCGATGACCTCATCACCAAGGACGACGCCAAGCTCTCCAAGAAGCAGCAGAAGAAGCTCAAGAACAACAAGGGCGAGGCCGTCGAGTCTGAGGAGCCTAAGAGCAAGGCCGACAAGAAGGTCCAGTTCGCCAAGAACCTCGAACAGGGCCCCACCGGCTCTGAGAAGAAGGGCAAGGCCGCCGTCGGCGTCAAGGTCGTCCAGGGCGTCACCATTGACGACCGCAAGATCGGCGAGGGCCGTGCCGTTAAGAACGGTGACAATGTTGGTGTCCGCTACATCGGCAAGCTCGAGAACGGCAAGGTCTTCGATGGTAAGCTCATCACTGGGATTCGATCACACAAGAGATTGACTGCTAACAATTTTCTCTCTTCAGCCAACAAGAAGGGCAAGCCTTTCTCCTTCAAGGCCGGCAAGAACCAGGTCATCAAGGGCTGGGACATTGGTATCCTCGGCATGACCATTGGTGGCGAGCGCCGCCTCACCATCCCCGCCCACCTGGCTTACGGCTCCAAGGGTCTCCCCGGTATCCCCGCGAACAGCACTCTGCAGTTCGACGTCAAGCTTCTTGAGATCAAGTAAAGGAAGAGAAATGTGATGGTGGCTCGGGCTGTCCGACGCCACGCTCCACTGTTGCCGTCGCCGCCTGGAAACAACCACGAGCCTGCATTGGGTCTTGCGGCGGCTGTATTCTACATACACACGAGCAAAACCGGGTCGGCTCTGTCCCGGCTGCTCAGCCACTTTTCGGCCTTTCCTTTATATTCTCATCACCGCAATGCCGTGTTGAAGAGTCTCCGACCTGCGGCGGTCCGCGATCTGATGACGCGGTCCATGTCGGATGGGGATGACGAGGCGAGGGCTCTGCATTGCATTGGTCGGCGTCAGGGGGTAAAAGCTTTTTTTTTTGCTTGATTTCCTTGGGTAAAGTCTGCCTAGGTCTCGAGGCTACCTCGCCGTGTAGTAGATAGATGGTGTGCTCGAGTGGCCAATGAACTGAATCTTGAATACTTGGCTTACTAATATTGTGTGCATTGTGCCTGTTGTGTGCGTTGAA